TTGATGATACCCACTTCTCAAATCAATTTTGGAAAAGATTTTTGCACCGCTTAACATATCCAGCATGCCATCTAGTCTAGGAATATGAAATCGATATTTAATGGTGATTTTATTTATTGGCCTACCATCCACACACATTCCCCACGTTCTATTTTTTTTGGAGTTAATAAAGCAGGCACAACACATGGGACTTAAGCTTTCTTTTATCAAACCCTTTTCTAACAAATCAGTTACTTGCTTAAAAAGTTCAGCATGCTCAGTTGGAGACATTCTGTATTGAGGAAGGTTAGGTAAAGTGGCTCCAGGTATTAAATCAATGTGATGTTAAATATCTCTCATCGATGGCAAATCTATAAGCAGTTCCCCAGGTGATATATCAGAAAACTCATTAATTAAAGGCCGAATTTTTTAAGGAATTTAAATAATAGAATCAATTTCCTTTCCCAAAACCAAATAAGCTACCTCAAAATGTTTCAAATCATTTGCATTCAAAAGCAGTTCATGAGTGTTTATTTTGACAACCTTGTTATTTTTAGCAGGCGAATCAGGCACATGTTTTTTAGGATAGAGAGTGAATTCCTTATTGCTTTGAATCAAAGTATAAGTGTTCTTTTCTCCATTGTGAATGATTTTGTGATCAAATTGTCAAGGTCGACCCAACAAAATATGACAAACTTCAAGAGGCACGACATCGCAAATAACTTGATCCTTAAAATAGCCCCAAATTATTAAGTTGACAACACATTGCTTTATGATTGGAACCTCTGTTTAAAATTGCGCAATAAGAGGCGCGCCTTGAGGTGCGCCTCTGCGCAATTCGTCCAAAAACCGTCTCAAAGCTTACGCAATTCCATCCCTGGCAGAGGCGTACGCCTCACATGGACTGAGGCGCGCCTCAGAGGTGCAATTGCGCAATTCTTTGTGAGGCGTACGCCTCATGGGAATGGACCCACCCACTTAAAATGAATGTTTTTTTCTCCTTAAACCTGCACGACAGTAGCTCCTTCCGAATTTTTCCTACCCGCACGGCTTCAATTCGCGAAACAGAGAGCTCCCGCACGGTCCTTACCCGCTAGCTTCCCTTTCCGCCGCTTCTCCCGCCGGCGCCGCCTCTCTCCGGCGAAGTTGAAACTTCCGGCCGCCCTCTAGAAGTACTCCACATGGATTTTAGATATTTTTTTTTAGTTTAGGGTTAGATTTTTCAAGTGTAAGAAAATCTAGGGTTTATATTTTTTTTATTGTAAGAAAAACCCTTAATTTCTCATTTACGCAATTCTGTGTCCGTGAGGCTTACGCCTCAGACCGCCTCGAGGCTTACGCCTCGCCTCACGGATGAAAACTGCCTCGAGGCTTAATTACGCAATTTTAAACCTTGATTGGAACCTCACCCCACTCCTTAAACCAAGAGATTTTATAAGATTTGACAAGTGGTTTGGATTTTATCTTAAGCTTGTCAACCATTTTTTGAGAAACAAAATTTCCAGAACTCCCACTATCTATCATAAGAGTGCAAATTTTTCCTTCGACCGTGCAAGTTGTCTTGAATATGTTTCTCCTAAGCCACCTATCCCCGTTGTCAATTTTAATTGTTAAGACTAGTCATATTACCAAAAGCTCTTCACCTTCATCTCCCTCAACATCAACTTTCTCTAATTCATTGTCATTTTTGAGGTTCAGATTTGTTTTCTTTTTCTTCATCTATTTCTTCATCGTTTTCAATGAAATTGTTTCTTGGTTGGTTATTTTTTCTATAAGCTGCAGAAAGATAACCATAAAGCCCACATTTATAGCATGACCCAATTAATCTAGGTTGTTCAGAAGGTTTTGATCCCATAATTCCCTTTTCTTTATCCGCATTTTGATTTTCAAATGTATTAACTTTCGCACTCGATGTTCCCACATAAGTTTAAGATTAATTTTTAACCTTGCTAGTTGATCGTCATTTATATGTTTCCGTTATCTTGTTGTGACCCCTTTTCCCTTTGATGTTGCCTTTCAAGTTTTAATGCCATACGATATGCCTCGTCGATTTTAATTACATGATACAAATTCAGTTGATCCTGGATTGTCCACTTAAGACCGTTGATATACCTTAAGACAATTTTCACTTCAGACTCATCTAAATCATTTCTTGATTGAAGTTTGTAAAACATTTCAGTGTACTTCCACAAATTGAGTCCTTGTTGCAAATTATTAAATTCTTGAAAGAATGTTCGTGCGTGATTAGATGATAACAAATTTGCCCTCATTTTTCCTTTCATTCGTTTCCAGTTTTGTATTTTCTCTTTCCCACGCCTAAGTCTATTGTTTTGTAAGTTTTTCCACCACGTAAGAGCATGACCATTGAGTTTTAAACTTGCAAATTTCACTTTTTTGTTTTAAGGAATGTCTTTCCAATCAAAGAATTGATCTATTTTTTCTATCCATTCGAGAAATGGATCAGGTTGTAATTTTTCCTCAAAGTTGTGAACATCTATTTTAATCCCAAAATCTCAATTTCGTTGACGCCTATTTTGGTTCCTAGGGACTTCTTCTTCGCTTTCAGATGTTTGGACATTATGTTGGTTAACATTTAGATTAGTAAGAGTGTTAGTCATTTCATTCATCCGATTTTGCAAATCCGCTAGCTGTTGCATTATATTTTGCCAATCCCTCGGATTATTAGTCATCTTAGATTTCAAAAGAAAAAGACCAACCAACCAAGGATATTCTAACTCGCTCTGATACCAAACTTGATGTAAGAAAACTAGAAAGAAAAGCCAAGTTGGAGAACACATGGACAATATAAAATCAAACTCGATTCACTTTAACTTGCAAACATCCAAACAAACATCAGGACAAATGAAAAGTAAAATCAAACGAAACAAAATAATAATATAAAAATGTTATCCTCAGGACAACCGGCAAGCGGTTTCCTCACATGCAACGAGAGTAGAAAAATATATGAAAATAGTGCTTAGGCTTGCAAACCGAGGGTCCACCATTGCAAAGGGGTCCAACGTCCTATCAAACTCCTCTTGCAAATGTCTCCCAAAATCAGCCAACAAACAACTTCCAAATGCTTCAAGAAGAAGGATACAGGTGGAGTAGAACTTGTATAGAGAAGAAGAGATTAGAAGCCAAGACGAAATAGAGAGGAGGAAAGGCGGTAGAACAAGCTCTCAAGCTTTTCCAAGAGAAGAAACCCTCAGGTTTTTAGTAAAGACTTTGCTCAAATATTCAACAACCTTTTCCTTTTCAAAACATCTCCAATTTATAAGTAAAAGAAAGAAGCTAAACACATTCCACCTCCAAACAAAACCAATCAGGTTTGGGGAAATTAAAGGCCAAAAGACATTACAACAGCCCCCAAATTCTACACAGAAAACAGGAAGAAAAGCCACGGGACACCCAGCCAGCAAGCCACGGGAAAGCAGTCAGAGAGGGACCTGAGGAGCCAACACAGGAAACGGGGCAGAGGGGTCACAGAAAAGCAGCCAGGGAGAAGAAACGAAAAGATAACCAACCCATAACATTGACTCACAAGGAAGAAACCAAAGAGACACAAGAATAGGAAGAGACAAGCTCCACTCCACATACCTTTATGAATTTATGAGCTAGAAAGTGCAATTACTCCTCCAATTAATGTGCTAAACTTCAGCTCAAGTATTAATGAGCTAGCACCAAGTAGAACCCATCTTTTTAAGCTCAAAACCAAGCAACCAAAGCCCTATCCAAGAGCAGCCAAGGCCCAAACTGAAATACAACAAACAGCCCAAAGGACAAGAAGGACCCAAATGCAAGCAAACCCAAGCCTTGTCATGCCCAAGCACATCCTACCATGATCATTGGATGTTCTCCATCATTGGATAGCTTTTAAAAAAAACATAAAACACAACTAATATTGTTCACATTACATCAAAATAAAATAAGACAAAATATAAATGCATCAATTCTAGAAACCTTGGCATTGATTGAATAAATCTCAGCTTAATGCTTGATGTTGGCAACGTCAATTCTTGAACTCCACCTCTGTGGAGTAACTCAAAATTATATTTATGAAGATCATCTAACTGCTGTGTATGGACAATTGTATATCTTACAAATTAAGACTTTTACTTATATTTTCCTTTTTATGAAATGTAGAGTGAGAAATGGTTAATTCATAATCATCATCATTAGCCTTATCCCACCATTTGGGGCTTGTTTTAAGAATCATCATTCTATCTTTTATCCAGCTAGTGTGCATGAGGCGTTAAACCTATTTGCACAACTGCTGTTTGTATTACCTTCTGTCCTCCCCTTTTCCAAGAGATTAATTCTTAGGTGGCAGATCTCAACACTAAGTTGCGTAAAATAGAAAAGGTAAGGCAACTTTTGGTCATTGTGTTATGAAGAAAGTTAAGTTTAAAACTCAATTTATCTTTATGGACGACTTTAGGATGTGAGATGATGAGATTTATTTCATAAAAGCTAGTGTTGCACTGAAATAATTGAAGTTACAAGTCTTTAATATATGAATAATTCAATTGAATATGATTAAGGCATGCAAAAGCTTTTTTGGAAGATGGAAGACTAAAGCCTTGTTTTATTCTGCTAACTGGGTAAACTCTTTACTGATTTCATATCTAAAGAGCAACCTAGTCACTTCCCCAGTTGGGGTGATTTTGTGCACTTAACTAAGATATGTTTATGGATTAATGTCCTTTCAAACTTCGATACAAAGGTTCTTCAGCGAAATAACAATGGTATTTGTTTGTTTCTGGGAAAATGATCAAAATGGTCCCTTAACTTCTTATGAAACTAAAATGAGCCCCAACTATATTAAATGATAATTTTGATCCATCAAATTCTTAAAAATGAACCAAAATAATTTCATTGTGGAGTTATTTTTATTCCTCTTTAAAGAGTTGATGGATCAAAATGGTCCTTTAATATAGTTGGAGATCATTTTAGTTTTTTTATAAAGAGTCAAATGACCATTTTAATCATTTTCTTGTTTGTTTCCTATCAAATTTCAGAAAGATCATTCTAGCAACAAATATAGCAGAAAGCAGTATCACTGTTGATGATGTCGTCTATGTCATAGATTGTGGAAAGGCAAAACAAACCAGCTATGATGCTCTTAATAAGCTAGCTTGCTTGTTCCCATCGTGGATATCAAAAGCTTCAGCCCATCAGGTACATCATTTATTTAACTCAAAAGGTAATCCGTCTATATATTGTTAATATTTGATAATTAAATAATGTGCCCTTTATACAGAGAAGGGGTCGTGCAGGCCGTGTTCAATCTGGAGTTTGTTATAGGCTGTACCCAAAGCTTATTCATGATGCAATGCCACAATATCAGTTACCAGAAATTCTTCGAACTCCTTTGCAAGAACTTTGCCTAGCTATCAAAAGCTTACAACTTGGGTCAGTCGCAACATTTCTAGCCAAGGCATTACAACCACCAGATCCACTTGCTGTTAATAATGCACTTGAACTTCTCAGGACAATAGGGGCATTAGATGAAAGAGAGGATCTCACTCCTCTTGGTAGACATGCATGCTTAATATTTTTTTTGTTACTTTATATGCACTTTGTTGGTTTCATGATTACTTTGGGGGCTGCTTTATCAGATGAACTGCTTGTCCTAACATTGATGTGCTTTTTTGAATGCTATGTAAACAGGGCGTCATCTTTGCACTCTACCATTGGACCCAAATATTGGAAAGATGTTGCTAATGGGATCTATATTCCAGTGCCTAGATCCAGCATTGACAATCGCTTCTGCTCTTGCGTACCGTGATCCCTTTGTCCTTCCTGTAAGTAGGAAGGAGGAAGCTGATGATGCTAAAAGATCCTTTGCTAGCGATACTTGCAGGTTAACCTCAATATTATGCTAGAATGTTCAGTGTCTCCAAAGTTGGACACCTAAAACAAATTGCTAAATAAGTAGAATAAGCAATATAGATTTATGTGTCATTTACTTATTTTTGTTTTAATTTCAAATTGCTGATTAATGCAATACTACTTTTTGATTTTGCATGTAGCAAATCTTTATCCTCCTTCAAATCGACCATCACATGTTGTTTCTTGTTTGTAGCATAAATACATTTAGTTTTTTTTTTTCTTTATTTAGTTGGGTCATAGCACAAACAACGAATATTTGGAGGCTGCAGCGGCCTGCACTTAGAAAATATTATGCAATATTCTGCTTCTTGTTTCCATAAGTGTTTTTGAGTTACATACTTCATGAATACAGAGATACTTAAAAAAGAAAATAAAACGTGCGATCATGAGGGATAACATGAATCATAAGGAATAGGACTCATTATACCCGTTTTGTAATGAATGTGTGATGCACCGTCAAAATCTGCAAGTGAGTCTATTGGAATGGGATGTGCGACAAGAAAATCTGCTAAAACTTGCCATTTTATCACTTTTTATGGAACATACGTGATATCAAACTGCAGAAGTATCACTGCCCACCTGGCTAGGCGACCTGCCAATATTAGTCTTGTCATCAAGAACTTCAGTAGATTAATCTTTGATATCAGTGTAATTTTATGAGACAGCATATAATATTAGAGTTTCTTGGACAACAAAAATCAATGCTTGACAATGCTTCTTAATTGGAGAGTAACATATTTCTGCTCCAATCAGCCTTCGACTAATATAATAGAGTTCATTTTCTTTGACTTCTTTGTTGTGTTGAGCTAGCAATGCTCTAAGGGACTCTTCCAACGCTGCAGTGTATAGGATAAGAGACTTCACTTGAATTGGTGCTGCAAGAATAAGTGGGCTTAATAGGTATCTCTTAAAACTATCGAAATCTTCTTGACATTCATCATCCCATTTAAAATGAACATCCTTCTTAATCAGCTTTGCAAATTGTTGTCATCTGCCTGATAGATTTGAGATAAATCGTCGTATAAATGCAAGTTTCCCTTGTAAAGAATGAAGTTGACAGAGGCTTTTTAGAGGCGGCATTTCTATAATTTCCTTGACTTTATAGGATCAACCTCAATCCATTTATGTCGTACATTGTACCCAAAAAACTTTGCTGAGGAAACTCTGAAAGTACATTTGAGTGGGTTCATTTTGAGATTAAATTTTTTAATCCTTTCAAACATAATTCTTAAATCTTCAAGCAGATCTTTTTGATCGATACTTTTGATAACTAGATCATCCACATAGCATTCAACCTTCTAGTGGATAAGATCATCAAATATATGCGTCATAGCCCTTTGCTATGTAGCTCCAACATTCTTCAAGTCAAAGGGCATAACTATATAGCAAAATATACTGATAGGAGTCCTGAAAGAAGTATGCTTTTCATCTTCAGGTTTCATTTTGATTTGACTATATCTTAATGGCCCATCTATAAATGAGAATATATCATAGTTGAACGTATTGTCAACCAACAATTCTGATTTTAAAAGTGGAAAGTCGTATTTCAGACACGCCTTGTTAAGATCTCGAAAGTTGATGTATATGTGAATTTGTCCGTTCTTCTTTTTTATTGGGACAATATTGGTTATCCAATTAGTATATTTCTTTTCTCAAATGAAATCTGCTTCGATAAGCTTCTTAGTTCCTACAATCACCCGCTCTTTAATTTTTAGTCTCATCCTCCTTGAAGCTTGCTTAACAGGTATTACACCTAATTTGATGGCTAATTTATGAATAACTATCAGGGGATAAACATGACATTTCATTATATGTTCAAACAAAGCAGTCTCTGAATTCATTGAGTAATGCTTTAATCTTTTCAACGTTATTCTTGGAGAGAAGAGCACTAATAAAGGTTGGGCAAGGGTCTTAATCAGTTCCCAAGTTTATTTACTTCAGCTCTTCCATGGTAGCGGCCTGCCCACCATCTTCAAGTTCTTCTGGTGTAGGTTTAGCTTTCATATCTTTCTTTATTTGTATTTGTGTTTTCAGTAGTCGGATATTTGTCATTTATCGCATAACATATATTATTCTGAGCATGTTCTGCTATGATAAATCTAAGGTCTTTTGTATCAGGACTACCCATCTTTGATAATTCTTGACATCACATTCTTTGAAAGAAACGTGCTTGTCGCCAAGTAACCATATTATGAATTCAAGTTTTTTATATTATTTGATGAATCCTTTTGGGACAATATCTAGGCATTTCTATAGGAATTATCGCTGCGTTTTTATTGAAATTCTTAGGCCAATCGAGATTCTCTTCTTGATATTCTTCAAATTTATAAAATAAGCTTCCCGGTCTGCTACTTCCGCGTAGGGGTGGTACATAAAATATTTTAAGCTCTTTAATATTATGAACCTCGCGGGATACGATTTCTCTGAAATGTTGTGGAGGGATCAATGTAACTACAAAAGTATTTTCTATAATGCGCATATTGCTCATTTTTCTTGAAACGATATATTGCACGGTATTTGTATGATTAGATTTGTAGGTATTTGAGTTATCATCATCTTCCTCTGTGTCACTTCTTAAATGAAGTACAACTTTATTTGATTTAGGCGATGTATTAGCCATTTTAGGAAGATTTGATGTCATGCTCTTTCTTCCCAACTCCTTTTTCTCGACTTGTTTGGGTTGTTTCGTACTCCTTGAAGTCGATGCTTTAGTTTCAAAAGATTTTATCGGCTTTACTTCATTTGGAATGAAGTATTTTGCATCATCATAAATTTTCACTTCGTGGACTGTGAAGGTGTTACGCTTGGACCGGTCCCAGCTGAACCAGTCCGGTTCTATGCCCGGCGGTCCAAAGCCGGGCGGAACCCGTTCGCAAAAACGGCGGAAGAAGAGGCGGGCTAGGAGGATTTTGAGCGTTTCGTTGGAGGGAAATTTTGAATGAGGAGGGTGTTTATGTAATTTGTATCTTTCCTTTTGCTTTAATTAGGGAGATAGGGGGAAATTAGGGTTATCTTGAATTTGAGTTTTCTCTTTGAGATCTAGGTTTTGGGCTCTTGGCTTCGCCGGAGACTTTGGATAGTGCGTTCTTCCTCTCGAATTGAAGAACAAATTGTATCTTTGCAATTTTATTCGTCTACTAATAAAATACTAGCCTTTGCTTGCGTTGGATCTCAGTTTTCTCGCGTTTCCTCACTGTTTTCCTGTGTAAAGCTGCTGTCCACTGCTGGAGACAGCAGTTTTTCCCTGGTTCCGCTTCAGTTTTGGCTAGGAATTACTTGATTTCAAGTATTTCCTATCAGAAGGCTTGTAAATCTCTAGAAATTCAGAACTTTTCTCCGTCCTTTAGATATTCCATGCATTAGTGCATAGTTGATGGAATAAAATCATTCTCATGGAGCCAAGGTCTACCCAAGAGTGTCTTGAATGAAGTGTTCGCATCGATAATATGGAATTTTGCTTCTGTGCACAGTTCTCCAAATTTTAGGGGAAGAACAAATGATCCTATAGTTTTTTGCCTTTTCTCGTTAAAGCCGTGCACCATAAGTTTATATGGCCCAAGATGTTGAATATCAAGGGATAATGACCTTAGTGTGCGCAAACTCATGAGATTTATTGACTACCTGGGGAGAATTCATTTTATTATGATGCCATCACTTTCTGCCGAGACATATAAATGACGATTATGTTCTGTAGTCTTCAATATGAGATCTTCTTCAGAGAATGTAACAACATGTTCATTTCTAATATGAAAAATTTTGTTCAAACATCTTTCTGCGAAATATAGTTCATATCTCTCTAGATTCTTTTGAGCCTGTATCAAGATTTCTCGAAGATCTTTTAGCATTAGAAGAGTTTCATAGATACTGAGCTGTGCTGAAATTTTTCTTAAATGGAAAATGATATTATACTATACCCCTTTATTTGTATCATATTTCTTCTTATGATCTTTATGGATGATTTCCTCGTTGATGATTATATCTTTTATCTTATCTTTGCTTGGTAATTCCTTTTTTTATTGGCGGTTGAAGCACCTTACCACTTCTCAACTATATTTGAGCCTCCTCATTCGACTCAGCCTCATCTGATGAAGTTTTTGTTGCATGTTTAGAGTCTTCATTCAGCTTTGCACGCTCCATTCGTGAAGTTTTTGTTGATCTGACTCATCATTGCTTGGAAAACAACTATTTTTCTGAGTTATTATCTATTTGTAGCACCATCAGACATAACTTAGATATTATTTTATCACTAAATCCATTTTTTATTGATACAATACTTTCATGCTCATCTTTTTTTATTTATTTTTGTAGGAGACATTGTTGCCTGACCCTTATCATGATTTTTGAAATAATTTTTTTGTCATGCATTCGATGCCAATAAGATGACTTGACATGTTTCTACGTGGAGTGATTCTTCATCTTCCACTTCCAATTGATCTATTTGAAGCTTAGACATAAAATCTGCAAGTGTTATTGGTCTCCTCAATGTTTGATGATAATCTTCCAAATAATTAATGATCTTCTGAAGTACAATTGTCTTCTTTTTTTGCTTGCTGTGCTTACTTGAGTTATTGGACTTCTTGGGGGATGTCTTATAGAACTGCTTCGTATTAGACACCTCCAAGTTAATGACTTGGAACTAGATGCATATGAATTTGGATTTTCTTTCAATTCAAGTACTGGTTCCGTAGATGATTTCTATTTTATACAAGGGACTCCTTCCAGTTGTTTAATCATCTTTATTATTTTCTTGGAGATTGCGGTATGTCATTCCTCTTTTTCTGACATCATTTTCGCTTCATTTTCTCATCTTTCTCAATTTATCATATAAAAGAAGACAATCACTTTTACAGATTCTTTTTTTGGGTGAACTAAAATGCTATTTGATAACGTGAATTCACCATCTCCGTATTTCTTTTCAACCCAGTCTTTGAAGAGATAACAATGTTCAATAGGGTGGTTGATAACTCGGTGATACGGGCAATAATTTGGATTATCATACTGATCATCTTCTTTGGGTCTTTTACACTCTAATAATTCAAGACCAACATTAAGTGCTTGCTTAAATAGTTGTCATTTTATCTTCTAAAAGAATATTCTCTATTTATTTTCTCTTTATGAGATGTAACACGATCACTGGTTCTTAGCCTTAAATATTCTTCTCCATTATGAAAAGTCTGAGACTTGTCGTATCCTCCTAATACTAATTTTGACTGGGGTTTAAGAGGGTCTTTGCTATTGGATTTTGCATATCGGGGAGATCAGATATCCTGCTCGATTTCTTGCGAGATTTCACGAGAAGTAGCGCATGTAGATAGTCGAAATCGAGGAGATCGAGACCATCATTTGATTTCATGATTTGGGAAAGTTAGATGAGCTTGGATTTGATCAATTTGGCTAAAATTGAGCTCAAATTGGATTTGATTTGGATCTATTTGGGTCGATTCAAGTCCGAGTGGGTATGATTGAGTCAATTTGATTAACGTGAGCCCGAATCTGCACCGAATTGAGTCGAATTTGGTTCGATAAGGATCGATGAGGCTGATTTGGGTTCGATTTGGGTCGATCTTGATCGATTTGATTTTAATTGGATTTAATTAAGTTTAGTTGGACTCGATTTAGGTCCGATCGAGGTCAATTAGATTCGACGATGCTCGATTGAGTGGATCGGTTCAAATCGAATCCGATTGGGTCCGATTTTACTTTATCTGACTCGAGTCGACAAAAAAAATGTCAACATCTTTATTTCATTCCTTACCTCAACAAATCCATCACCATCAGGAGAAGCTTCAATTATGGGCTGATTAAAAACCTTGACAGTGCCACTCTGCAGAGGAGCAACGATATCATCCTCAAGAAGCCCATTCTTCTTTAAAATTCTGAGGAATAGTATTTTCTCAAAAAAATTATTGCAAAGTAAGAAGACCTGTTGTCTAATTTTTGGATCCTTAGTTCTTAGAATCTTAGGCCCAGCATATATTGTTTGTCCCCCTTTTGAAATACCTCTTGGCGAAGTGCCAATGGATGCTTGTTTGAATCTGCACATAAACTATATATAAGCTCACAATATTTTGTCATATTCTTCCAATGTAGTTGGTGAGAAGTCCCTATCCTCTTCACCTTCCAAACATTGCAGATCTACCAAAAATCCTTGTCCTTCAATGTTTCCCCTCGTTGGAAGTGGCTCCAAAGGTGGCTTCTCTTATTCTTCCCCCAAAATTTCCACCTCCCGATCCTCCCTCATCTAGCCTCTCCCGATCCTTCCTCACCAAACTCCTCCCGATCTCCTTTCCCTTAGATTCGGCCAGGGAATTCCGATCAAATCTTGGTTAGGTTTAGCAATCATAACCGTTGGTGAAGTTTCGTATTGCATTTCTATGAGCTTCCTTAACATCTCCTCCACCCTTCCCAATCGGCTTTCTATGGATGTAATCTTTCCATGGTTGAGAACTTCTTCTCCACATCGGATTTGATTTGCTCCATCTTCTGTTCCAACACCTCCACCTTCTTTACTATCATAGGTCCCAAAAGAAGTGTTCTGATAACAATTCGATGCGTCTTGGAAGTAAAAATAACAAACAAAAGAGAAGAACATTGTAGGAACACAAAGATAGGGCTGATTTTTTTTTATATATAATTATCTATTCAAAAATAATGAAGGTACAATTGATCCACTCTTTAATAGGTAGATTGGCTCTCCCACAAACCTTAGACACCGTTAGAAACTCACAACAAATATTAGGAAAATAAATTCAGCAATATCATGATGCCTAACCATAATCAAAACTATCTCTTAAATAACCCTAGCCACAATAACACAAATAGAACATTCCTAAACAATTAAATATATTTTAGGAAAGCTTCCTAAACAATTAAACATGATTTAGGAAATCTTCCTAAACAATTAAACATGATTTAGAAAATCATCCTAAACAATTTAACATATTTTAGAAAACCTTCCTAAACAATTAAACACTTCCTAAATAACATAAATACAATTATGATACTTTTCTAAATAAATCCCCCTTGATTATGAACCTTCTTAATAATTTCTCCTTAATTAGTAACTTTCGTAAACAACTCCCCCTCCCTCTTGATTCTTCCTCTTTACATAATGAGTAATAGCTCCCTTGAGCCTCACAAGGTGGGCCCCCTCGCATATCAGATTGTAGGTTGGTAATTGTCTATATATTCTGCAAAATGTATTATATGTGACATCATTTACTTTTTCCTGCAGTTTTGGTGCAGAAATATCAAATCATGAGTTATTTGAAAATGTGTCGCAATTGACCCAAGATCATGGAAAGATTTTTTATTTTCATTAGCTATATGTTTATGAAAAGTTAATTGTTTACTTATTTTACAGTGATCACATTGCTCTTCTTAAGGCTTTTGATGCATGGAAAGATGCAAAGCGAGGTAAACAAGAACGTGCTTTTTGTTGGGAGAATTTTCTATCACCAATGACATTGCAAATGATGGATGACATGCGAAGCCAATTTCTTGATCTATTATCTGGCATTGGTTTTTTCAACAAAGCTAAAGGAATCAAGGTGTTGTGTTTTTGTAATTTAGTGATTTATTTCAGTATATTCCATTTTCTCAGAAGATGATTCTTTTATACCTGCATTGCATTGTCTTAATCCTTGCAATTGAGGTCACACATTTCTTCGTTTGGTTTTAATAAGCAGTTTTTAAAATGAATTGTTACAAGTTGCTTGCTACAACTGAATTAATGTTAACACTTATGTAGTAGCGGTGTTTATATATATATATATATATATATATATATATATATATATATGATAGGCTTTAAGGTTAAGGTATGTGGTGGATTTTTGAAAAGGAGGTCCTCTCTTTTTTGTAGGGAGATTTGTGGCTTAGAATATGGCTATCAATAATGACTTGCTTATTTCTTGAAAGTTGAATTTACATGAATCTAGTTGGGTTTAATATAATATCTAGACGGTTTTTTGTGTACAAAATGACATATTTTATAGAAATGCACAGTAGTTGTTAGCAGCTGAGTATGACTATCTTCAAGATTTAAGCTTTTATTGAAGTGATAGTGCCAGCTTATATTCCACTTTTCAGCTCCTTAACATTTTTCTTCATACTGAGTTTCCTCAATCATGCCATCTACCCTAAAAATATACATAAAATTTGTAATTCTTGTGCCACCCTTTTGAACAAGTTTTTCTGGAGTTTAATATAAAAAACAATTACCATAAATGCAGAAAATATATATTGATCTAAACCTTTGATATACGTATAGTTGGTAATTTCATGTGACAAATCTGATATTATTGTTTATAATTTTTTATTTTAAATATTCTAAAAGCGTGATTATCAAAAATGCTAGTTTTTTGTTTGAATCAACTTTAAGTTCAATATTCAATAATTTAACTTGTATAACTTTTCTTTTTTCTTTTTAAATTTTAAGCAGCTGCTCAATTGAAGGATGCAAGAATAAATGTTATTTTCTGGATTATGTTAACCTACGCTTTTGTTTAACTAAACATTGTTTTGTGAGCTGCTTTTTCTATACATGCAAACACACCCTTAGAAAAACAAATACAGCCTATGATGTTTTAACACATTGTTGTAATATCTAATTGATGAGGACATTAGTGAGAGATTTTGGCATGTGTATTGTTGACGTAGTCGTGGATCGACGTCTACGATTCAGAGTGTATTTTTGATGTATTTTATGTTTTATGTTTTATGTTGCATTTGAGTTTTCCCATTTTACCTCTATGGAGAAGTGAGTCTATGTTGTAGCTCGAGGGCACTTTAGTCTTTTCTGTTTTCTTTCATTTGAGCCTATTTATAGGAGGCCTCTTGCATTGTAATGGATGATGATTATTGAGTAAAATTTCAGATTTTTCTTTGTCTCAAGTTGTGAGCTCTTGAGTGGAGAGAACCCTAAGAGAGGGATATGCAATACCCGACAGCCGCCGGTGGATTCCGAGCTCTCAGGTAGTCTTTGATTTATCTATTTCTTACTTCTCCTTCTCCTCCCTACCACCACCCTCTCCCTTAATTTCCCCATACCCGAAAACCCCCTCCCCACCGCTGGCCTCCCTAACCCAGCCACCCGCCGGCCACCCCACATAGCCACTCCCTCCCCTTTGGCCCTTCTAGCCGCCGGCCTCTCCCCAAGCTTGCATGAATTTTGAATTTCAAAATTCAAAATCCTCATTCATTACTTACCTTATTTGCCATTTCTAATTATGGAAAGTTTTTTTAATCCAATTCTAATTCAAATTTAAATTAGATGGGATTTATTATTCATATTCCTTAATTAGCTAACTCATTTAGGAAGCATTAAAACTCCCCCCAAAACTCTCCCTCTCACTAGATGCCGCCGGCCCCCTCCCCTCTCCCCCTCTTTACTATTTTCCCATCAAAGCCCAAGCCTTATTTGAAATTTGAATTTAATTTCAAAGTGACTCCCTCCAATTTTACTTAATCTGAAATTAAATTCAGATTATCTAATTCCAACTTTTGTTAACTCAACCCTAGCCGGACCCCCCCCCTCCTCTTCTTGAAGCTATCCCAACCTCCTTCCCTCTACTCAAACCGCCGGCCTCCCTCTCCACCCGCCACCTCCTCTCCCTCTTCTCCCCACTTGTGCTCTCACATCTCTCACGGAAAGCATGTATAGAGGATTTGGAAATTGATCACGGTTTTGTGTTCAATTTTCAAGGGGAGATCGACGCCATCCAATTCTCTTTCTTTGACCTTGGATTTGGATTCAATCACACCATCGAGGAATACGTCGACCGTATTCTCTTCCATCTAGCAGATGTCATTGACGAACAACGACCTACGGGAGAGTGGAAGGTCACCGGACACCCATCCGTTCCTCCAACTCCGACTCCTTCCCTGGCGACTAGCACCCTCAGCATCGCTTGTCTTCTAGTGGCATCTCTAAGTTTGCTTGCAACATTCTTCCGCTAAGCCAATCACTATCAAGAGTGTGAGTGAGGGATCCCAAGGTGAATGATCTAATTATTAAATTGTAGACTTTGTTAACTTGCCATTTGCTTTACTCATTTATTTGTTGTTGTTATTTTGCAAGTATCCTAGTAATCTCAATTGTAATCGCTTGCCGTTACTTAGTCCTTTCATGAAATTTTCCTAAGATCTAATTTGAAGAAGCATCCATTTATATTTAGCCAAGCAAAGTTCACATTTTACTAATTTCTTAAAACAATTCTTGTTTATCATCATTGTTTAACATCACTAATTTTTAATGCATTGTTGTAATCTTTGATGTTAATGCATTCTAATATACTTGTTTTCAGGCATATAACCTTTATGGAGGTGATATAGAGATGATTCGTGCCATTTTGTGTGCTGGACTCTATCCGAATGTCATTCAATGCAAAAGGAGAGGGAAAAGGACAGCATTCTACAGTAAAGATGTGGGAAAGGTGGAAATCCATCCTTCCTCCGTGAATGCAAGGATCCACTCTTTTCCCTTGCCTTATATGGCGTATAGTGAAAAAGTTAAAACTACATCTATTTTTATTAGGGATTCGACAAATATTTCAGATTATGCTCTACTCCTCTTTGGAGGTAGCTTAACTCCTAGCACAACTGGCGAGGGCATTGAAATGCTAGGAGGTTACTTGCATTTCTCTGCACCAAAAAGTGTGAGACAACTCATTCAGGTGAATGCATTTGCATTTTTTTAAAAATATTTTATGAGTTTCTTTTATCATTTGCATTATCATCATCACTCATCATTCAAATCCACGTAATCTTAGTTTCGCATTTGATATTCTATTTGCTCATATCTATTTTCCTCGCTTGTCAAGAAAGACAGTCACGAGTATTTAGTTTCATGCAAAGCATTATTTTCTTGTCTGTCAAAAAAGGAGGTCACAGGTACTTAAGTTTATGCAAGACAGCGTTTTCCCACCTGCCAAAAAAGACAATCAAGAATACTTAGTTTTATACAAGGCAGTGTTTCCCCGCTTGCCAAGAAAGGCTGTCACGAGCTTAGTTTCACATGCTGTAACTCATAAAATAGCACTAGTGTCAGGTCAGGGTTATACCTCAATGTGCGTGGCAACGACGGCGATGGCAAGACAACGAGGTGAGTCGTCACACAAGTTTTCTCTCCTTTTTTCGTACCTTTTTTTTGCTTTCTTGTAGAGAGAGTGAATGAAAGAGTCTCCTCTTCTTAGAGAGAGAAAGAGTGTTTTCTTTCTTTTTAGAGAGAGAGAGTGGTGGAGAGAGAAATATAGGGAGAGGAGGGGTATGGTGATGGTTAGTGGGTTCTCTCACTCTCTTTTTAGAGAGATAAATGATTCTCTCTCTAGGTCTAGAGAGATAATAAAAGGAATGCTAGGGTTTTGGTAGAGGAAGTGTAGGGTTTTAGCAAGGGGGTTTTGAGGTTAAAGAGATTAAGTTAGAGAGAAATCTCTCTTTTTCTCTCAGATTTTAGAGAGAGAAAGAGGAGGTGGGGGCTAAGGTTAGGATTTGGTGGAGGAAGAAGATGATGATGATGCTAGGGCTTGGAGAAGAAGGCAAGAGGAAAAGAGGAGGAGAAGAAGAAGAAAAAGAAGAAAGAGGAGGAAAAGGATAAGAAGAAGAAGAAGGAGAGGAAGTGGTGGCTGTTAGCTAGAGCAATTAAGGCGGTGGCTAGGGTTGGCCGGCGGGTTTGACGATTGGGAGATGGTCGGCGGGTATTTTAGGTATGAGGTGTCGGGCATGCATGCGAGAGACAAAGGAGAGAGGGTTGCGTTCAGTTTTGTGCGTGATTTGGGTCAGAGGCTGGGGGAGTGAGGAGTGAGTTGAGTGGGGTAGAAAGAGGGATTTTAAGGTTATTAGGTTATTTATAATTAGGGTTTTTACCTCTCTCATTTTTTAAATGCATAAAATAAATATTAAATTGAAAATATTTATGTATATTAATTGTGCCTCGATCTGCTTGGCAAATCATCATCGTTTTTCCCATGTCAATTTTGCTTCGTTCCGTGTGCGCAAAATTTTTTTGTTGATCAATAACCCTGATCAATATGGATGTTGTTGTTGTTGTAGCTACTCGAATGCCTTGGTGCTGTTTATTTTGTGAATTGAATATGTTTCGACAATTTAGGTTTTTTGTCAACACGTGTTGGCTGAGTTTCGCGCAAATGTCGTGCTTCACTTTTGAAACTTATTGTTCATGGTTGACTCGACACTAAAACTATTATTTAGGTCAATAAATGATGACACATTAATTTAATTCATCTATAATTCGCACAATCTTGACCATCACATTTATTCTTAAGAAAATAGGAACCAACACACTTCTCTACTCATATGACATCTTTTTAGGCTTCAAAATAATATGAAAAAATTTAGTAAGCTAAGATATTAATTGATCTCCTAAGCATTTCCATCTATTGGAATATCATCAGGTTCAACTATTTTTTCACACTTCATTTTTTTATAAGTCTTTCCAATTTGAATCTTGCTAATACAATGATAAACATAAAAATTCCTAGTAAACTCAATTGTATTCTCACATTCTTCATTGAAAAAGCTTATCAAAATATCCATCCACCTATATTGAATATATTTTTCTAAGAAAAATACTTTTTGATCTTCATCCCTAATGCACTTTACTTGAACTATATCCCTCTCATTTCTCTTTATTTGATTAACTTATGCATACATCTATTATATAAATCACTAAAAACTAAATTCTTTGCATCGCATATCGCTTTCTTAAATTCCCTACGAGTTCCTTTATATCTTTCCCAATTTTTTGAACTTTTATATCTAAATTAGTTTTTATGATAAAGTTTTTTTATTTTTTATCTTTTCTTGCATATTTTGATTCTACCACTATCTATTTTTATTATTAGGAACTTTTTCTTTTGATTTTCCAAGCACTTATTTTGCAACATACTTAATATCACTAGTTTTTTTTTTTTTTTTCATTTAACATTAGTTTTCTTATGATCAACTCAAGTCTTAAGATCTTGAATCCTATTCTAAAAATATTTTTGTTAACTGTTTGTAAATGCCTCAATTAATCATAGTGTAATATGATACTTTATTTTTTATTTTTCATCCTTTCATTTTAAAGTCTTATACTAATAAACAATGTTTAGTACATAAATTTTTACTCAAAATGACTTTGCAATCTTTGTAATCTAAATGTTCTATTTTATGTATAAGATTCTATGTCTATTCTTAGAAGTGATGAGATGTTCACCATTTTTTTTAATAAAGTATTAATAATTACAAAATTTTAAACTAGTGCGAAATTTAATATGGTCGTATAACCTTCATTAATATACTCAAACTTATAGCCAACATGGATGTTTTTAAAATCTTCTACTACTCTACCAACATAATCGTTTAAATCTCATCTAATAAAAACCCTTTCTTAAAAATGTATAATTTATATTAATTCTTCTAAATCGTTTAAAATTGTTATTTTTAAAGACATCCGAATCTACTTGAAGAACATAAGCACTTATAGCATTAATAATCTTAGTACCAACAATAATCTTTAAAGTTATAATTCTATATCCAATTCTATTAATTTTTTATAATATAATCCTTCAAACTCTTATTTATAATTGCACCTACATTATTTTTGATACGACACGTACCTGAATACCATATTTTAAATCCTAAATTGTTAATCTCCTTAGTTTTTTTTCCATCTATTTGGTTTCCTTTATACATATAATATTTATCTTCTTATGGGTCAGAATATCTATTAACTCCATTAAATTGACTATAAGAGTACATATATTTTAAAATTTTATCATAATTCTAATTTTATGAATTATCTTCTTTGCTCACATCTACCCATAATGTCGAAATTCTTGTTTATTTAATATTGCACCCAAGCATCTCTAAAACGGTCCTTGCACATTTTATTTGCATTTAGACCATGTAATGCATCCATTTCAGAAAATGCCCAATATTATTAATATTTTTAACAATTATTTATTGGTTAATAGATGAATAGAATAATACTATCATGTTTGGCTCATTATATATAATTTTTTTTTTTTTTTGAAATTGCCTCATGTCCATCTTGTATTTGAAGAAGTCAAACAAGAGCACTATATTCACAAATAATTTGGAATACAATCGTTTGCACCTTAGTCACTATTATTGATTCCTCCAATAACGTCCTCTCTCACACATCTCCTACTCTTTAAGTTTTGTTGCCATAGCCAATGCATCATCAACAACTTCATCACCTTGTTTTGTCTCCAACCTTCTAGTTGTAGTCAACCATTAAAAAAACGGACGAAGCGTCCGCATTGAGTCGCACCTCAAGTCGAGGCGGAAGTCATGCGTATCGGGGTTTACGCCTCAAACCATCCAGCGAAGCCTATTATTTTTTCACACGAGGCGTACACATCAGAGCGTAACGCCTCAAGGCAGTACGAGGCACCGCCTTGAAATTTTTTCTTTGGTATATATGTAAGTACGACGCAGCCGATTCGTGTTCGCGTATTTGCGTATAGGATTAGGGCTTCCTGTGAGAATTGAAGGCAAATTGGAGGTGAAGCCGTGAGGGAAAGAGATGAAGCCGTGAGGGAAGGAGACGAAGCCGTGAGTGCAGGAGACGAAGTCTGAAGGAGACGACGCAGTAAACAAAGCCAAAAGCAATAACGGTTTCAAAAGCAGGAAACGAAGCCGAAGTTGTGAGTGCAGGAAACGTTAAGGCCTCGATTAGGTCGGAAGAGCAGGTGAGCGGTGTTGTGGGCCTTGACTTTGACGTGCAATAACTTTTGATTCGGCTTTCTTTCATTCGTCCGCTCAGTACATGCTCAGTACCGAGCAGGTACATGCTCGGTACAGCTCCGTTCATGCTCGGTACCGCTCCGTACATGCTCGGTACCGAGCCAGTACCGCTCGGCACCGAGCAAGTACATGCTCGGTACCACTAGGTACGTGCTCGGTATCGAGCCAGTACCGCTCGGTTCCAAGCAGTATATGCACGGCACCGCTCAGTATTGAGCATATACAAGCAGAATTTCAAAATTACTCTTATAATAAAATTTTGTTCCGGGGGCGCTACCCCCGGAAACCCCCATAGGGTGTTGCCCCTTGACCCCGCGACCTGACCTGGCAGGTCGAACCCCGCCAGGGGGCAGCGCCCCCTTGGACCCCTGGCAGACCGGTATATTGTTGTATTCATGTTGTCTTATTATTGGTAGTACAAATAATTATTAAAATCTATCCTATTTTATGTTGATTATTTATTTATATAAATTATTAGCATGACTAGTGGCATAAGAAGAAAAGATCTTGCATGGAAATATAGAAGTTAAGTTGAAGTGTCAGACGAAGGTGCAAAGAAGGAATATGTTTATATGAAATATAATTTCTGTGAGAAACGCATAACTGGTGGCGTCAAGAGGATAAAGGATCATCTAATCTGCACTTATATCAATGTGGGACCATATGCAAAAGTATCTGATGAGGTGTAAAAGGAATGTACATATTATTTAAAGAAGTTTGCCACCACAAAGGAGGTCACACAAAGAAATATGGAAGAGATGATAGGAAATTCTTCTTACTATGGATCACAACATGAAGGTTCCAGTAGTGGAAGCCATCTAGTTTCTTCTAACCGAGGAACTCGGGGTCCTATGGATAGATTTATGATAAATATTGATGACGAGGATAACATAAATACTCAGGA